TCTAGGGCGATATCGGTTTTCTTTCGCCAGGATTTGAGGCCTATCGAAGCGAATATAATGGCTTGGGCGGTCCTGACTGTGTTTGCAGACAGCAGATGTTGTATTGCGATCGTGATGGATACATCAGATTACAATGAGAAAATTAAACAACTTTTGTCGGATGAAAGTACATATAAAAAGGTCAAAACAGACCCAACCACCACTGTGTTAAATAATACTAAAAAGCTTATTAAGAAACACTCCGATGCATTGAATCTTGATGTCAAAAATCTTGTTCCATCTTGTGCAAAGCCGCCTAAACTGTATGGACTTCCAAAGATACACAAATCTAACGCTCCGCTACGTCCAATTGTGAGTCAAATCGACACACCGACTTATAAATTGGCCCAACTAGTAGCGAAAGTACTCTCAACACTCAGAGGACAAACATCAGCGTTTACAAGGGACTCATACCATTTTGTCAATGAGATAAAACACCTACAACTCATGGACAATGAAACTATGGTCAGTTTTGATGTACAGTCTCTATTCACCAACCTACCAGTAGAGGACTGTGTCAAAATAGTATCAAGAAAGCTACGGGATAATAGTATGCAAGAAGAATACACTGAACTTTTGAAACACTGCCTTACATCTGGCTATCTATTGTGGAATGATGAATTCTACAAGCAAGTGGATGGAGTGGCCATGGGTTCGCCGGTCTCTCCCGTTGTAGCTGACATCTTCATGGAGGCCTTCGAGGAGACCGCCCTAAACACATCACCTGTGACCCCTCGTTTCTACAAGCGGTATGTAGATGACACTTTCACAATATTACCATCTGATAAAATATCTGTATTCTTAGAACATCTTAACTCCATAAACCCTAAAATACAATTTACAATGGAATTGGAGTCTAATAATTCTTTAGCTTTCTTAGATGTATTAGTCATACGTAACCCAGATAACACCTTGAGTCATACTGTGTATCGAAAGAAGACCCATACTGATAGGTACTTGAATGGTGAATCTCACCACCCCCCTTCACAGTTAGCTACCGTGGAAAAATCTTTGTTTCAGAGGGCACGCGGGATCTGTGACGAGCAACACCTGGCCGGAGAACTGCAACATGTCAAGCAAGTTCTGCGAGACAACAAGCTGCAAGTGCCGCGCCTACGTCACAGGGACCGAGTGAAACCAGCCACAGTCGAGCGCGTCCCTGCAGTCCTACCTTACATGAGAGGCGTCACTGACAAGATTGGCTACATTCTAAAGCGAGCTTCAATTAAAACTTACTTCAAGCCGCCAAAGAAAATTAGTCAGTTTCTACCACCTGTCAAGTGCCACATCCCTCTACAAGATGCAGGAGTTTACAAGCTTGATTGTGACTGTGGGCTCTCTTACATCGGACAAACAAAGAGATCCATTAGAACCCGGGTCAAAGAACACATAGCTGATGTGAAGCACCGTCGCAATACAACATCTGCTGTCTGCAAACACAGTCAGGACCGCCCAAGCCATTATATTCGCTTCGATAGGCCTCAAATCCTGGCGAAAGAAAACCGATATCGCCCTAGAATAATTCGAGAAGCCATAGAAATTAAAAAACATCCTAATTTCAATAGGGAAGATGGCTGGGTACTACCATCGTCATGGGATCCTGTTATTAATATAATAAAATCTAATAATAAATCTAAACATAACAGACAGGTAGATGTAGTAAGTTCTTACTGTGTAGATCAAAATGATAGCATTTCTGATTAATAATATTTTTTCACTTTTTCATTTGTAAATGTATGTAGTAATGTGTTGCTTAATAATTTGTTTTTAAATAATAGCAAATTTAAATTAAAATTATTATTTTTTAATTAATCTTAACTTTTTCAAATTACACATAGATCAATTGTGGCTTAAATAATTAATACTATATTTTATATTTTTCTTATGGCTATAAATATAATAATGGCAACACTAAAAATAGATTGCTAATTAATATTTTTAAAATTGTAATAATTATAAAAATAATAGCAAAAATTAAATAAATAATTTTCCATATTCAATTATAATTAAAATTATAAAAATATTTAAAGTTAAAATATTGTAATGTAATTGGTGCAATTTTCATTTTGTTAATTGTGGGTAGGCTGTCTGTAACAACTATATCTTTTAAGACATGTAACACCTCAGTCTCTCCCGTGACCATGGATGCTGTAAAGCATTCGAAACGTCGGGAAACAAAAATACAAATAAATCCGCGACAAAATCCGAAAAGATAGTTTTATTTAAAATATTATATAGGGTAAGGTTGCTCAAGTCGTACCACGGCCTAAGTCGTACCCCGGTAATATCTTGTCTCGTAATTATAAATTGTGCCATATAGTGTTGCTAATCTGAACTTCTTGGTCGAGCGACCAAACAGAAACAAGTGGACGACCGGCCGGCTTCGTGAAGTAAAAATATTGAAAAAGTAAGTTTTTGCACAGTTTTCATTAACATTATTGACTCATTTGTAAGCTTTTTATGGCAGGAATGAGATCCTTAACTTTTTTCTTTGTTAACATATGTTTGTGATACTTATCTGGTAATCTTTTCGAATACTCAAACATTAGAACTTTCTTAGGTTATGTCATTACTTTTATTTTTAAATTTAGAAAACACCGCCGCTTAAGTCGTACCTGTACAAAATTCCTAAGTCGTACCTGTAACAAAATTTTCTACTCGTACTGGTACGACTTAAGAAATTTGTTTAATATAAAGTTTATATAATTTTTTATCAGGTTTATACTTAAATATGGCGAAGAGAAGCTACGATACTTGGAAGCAAGAGGATACGGACGAAGCCTTGAGATACATCAGGATGGAGAAATTGGATTTAATGAAGTTTTGTAGAAGATTTAATATACCGAAGCCTACTCTGTGACGATATTTGAAAGGTTGACTAAAAGAACAAAATTTGAAAGACCTAATGATATGTCACCAGACATGGTAGAGAGCCAACAGCATTTGATGAATTTAGAGTCGTGTCTCTTCGGATTATCTCAATCTATCGGCCACTGAATTTAGGAAACTTCCCTTCGAACCCCCCCCCCCCCCCGCTGAAAAATTTGAACTAACCTTATCGTTTTTTTTTTTAAAAATGGAGAAGAAAATTACAGGCAAAAAAGTGGTATTACAGGTTTATAAAAGAACATCCTACTTTGTCGTTGCGTGTTCCAGAACCTCAATAGCCAGAACTAAAGGGTTTAAAAAAAGAGCGTGTTAATGAGTTTTTGATAAGTACTAGAAATACTGGATAAATACAAGTTTGCTACACACCAAATATACAATGTGGACGAAACTGCACTATCCACCGTTCACAAACCATCCAAAGTTATTGCTCAAAAGGGAAAACACCCAAAGTAGGTGCAATTCCAAGTGGAGAAAGGGGACTGACCACAACAGGCATACGTGTGATGAATGCAGCAGGCGAATTTATACCACCCATGTTGATATTTTAAGCGTAGCCAAACTGAATGATGCCTTAAAAAAAGAAGCTCCTTCAAAGGACAGCGTTTGGTTGCTCGAAAAATGGATGGATAATATCAGAACTTTTCGTTCAATGGCTTCAACATTTTATTAAATGCACAAAATTAGAAAAAAAGTGATCAAAAACAAATAATACTTTTACTAGATAGCACCCATACGCAAATTATATAAATTTAACATTTTAGACTTTTGACATTTACACAATTTAACTTTCTAATTAATAACCAAAAAAAAAAAAATGTTTTAAGTTGTCTCAGACTGATTTTTTTGTAATTATGTAGCTGTTAATTGTGATCTCTGGTTATTAAGTATATTTCTGTATAGTTTATTATGTGTTAATTAAAGTATATTTTCTAAGTACGACTTAGGCTATAGGTGGTATCGAATTAGGCAAACTAGGTGCCTTAATCGTACCGAAGGTATGTTTTTGAAAAAACGTTTAAAATATCTATTTTGATAAAAGATTTTTCAGTTTTTATTATTGTTGATTAAAAGGCAACTAAATAAATATTCAATACATGCAGAAGATTTTGTTTTATATCAATTGCGCTGAATATAACAGTATTATTTCCTTAGGGGTTACGACTTAAGCAACCTTACCCTACTTATTACCTACATAGAGGCGAAGTTTTTATGACATTGCTTTAGGTTAATTTCATACTATGCAACAGTGAGCAGTATCGATTCATTACTAAAATTAATAAAAAAATAATAACAATAACCCTCTTTTTTAGTCTAAGTAAATAGTACGTCGAATATTGTTTTAAAATTTTTGTTTGGAGTATGTCTACCGTGTAACAATAGCCAAATATATACTTTTTACTTTTATAAACGAGTATGAGTCGCAAATCGGACTGCCTGAGTAAAGTTAAAACTTGAAAGCTTTAAAAGTAGATTTTTTAGAAATGTAACATACAAAATTCGTAGAATATCAATTATTATGATACCTATAGTATTTAAAATTAAATATGACATCATCAAATAAACATGTGAAGTGAAAATAGCGTTTGTTTGGTTATTTGATATCGATATATTGATGTTAAACATAATTCCTAATAGCTGCAAATGGATATGTACATTGTACAATATGTACAAATGATTTTCTATTTTAACTTTGCGTTTATTTGCATATTGCGCCATTTACAAATATAAGTAGATACAATTTGAATTCCGTAGCGTCACGACTTCTTTTATTTTATTATTATGAATTTTTAGATGTCGAAAGATTAGCAATGCAACAAAGGTACATCCCCTTTGCTTTATACATAAGTGATTGTATTCAAGGAATAAATTTACAATTTAATAGTAATGAGAATAAAGTTTAATATAAATTGGAACGCAACTTAGAAATCATAAACTTAACTAAAACTACAACCACATCTTGGGAATATTTAATATATATATATATATATATATATATATATATATATATATATATATATATATATATATATAAGAAAATTTCTTTATTCTAAAAGAAAAATTGTTTCTTACAGCGTAAACTCTTGCTATTTCCTGAAGGCACTCGTCACTCTGGAGACAGATTGCTGCCATTCCGGAAGGGCGCGTTTCACGTTGCACTAGACGCGGGTGCGCCCATACAACCCGTAGTTGTCTCCAAATATCACTTCTTAGACTCAAAACGCCGTAGATTTGGATCGGGTATGTATTTTTTTTTTGTTTTTTCTATCTATCTTAGTTGGAATTGGAAGGAATTTTGTTTATTGTGTTCCCTCGAATAGGTTTCGTCCTAGTTGAGTTAAATAGACAAAAAATATTGGCCCGTTTACGACTAACCATACCACTGCTTTATTGCTATCATTATTATATTTTTAGGTATTTTTAGTTGTGTGGTTACGTAATAAATTATTTATATCTTATACGGGTAGGTATGCACCGGTGACGGGAACTAGCAAAAAGAGGACCATAAGGTCCTTGGGATTTCATTTTGTTAAAAATTTAAAATTATTTTATGATTAGATTTAGAATTATCATAATTATAACTACAAAAACTAAGAATATAACTAAATACATAATTTATGTATATTTTTTGAAATACATTATCTTAATTATACTAAGTACAATAATACAAAAATATTATTTAAATAATTATGCGATTAATGTATGTTTTTCAAGAAAGATGGTTAATTTTAAAGTTTTATTAAAAATGCAATTTTAGTAAAGTTAAAACCTTTTTAACATTATATCAATTATTTATCTTACATATTTAATATTAATTTCGTTAAATTACTGACCGTACACAATGTTGCCACTTGCCAGACGTTAGTAACTGTGGAGGAAAATATGAGGACGAAACGATATTATATACTTTTAAAAAACGTGTGATTTTACTTTAAATTAATTTACGAAGTGTTAATAATTTTACATTACTAAGTTGATAATAGCATTATTGATAAATTACAAGAGAAAGATACAATAAAACAAAGTTTTTCAAAGGAAATTCGTGAATCTAGAAGTATTTTCTCGTAAGAGGTTCATAAATAAACTATTAATAAGTCCAAATTATTAATACGAGGACAACGGAATAAAGTAAAAACAATGTACAATAGTAAGATAGTCTTTATAGTAGGCACCGGACCGTTTCCAGTTAGCATTCGTCTAAATTTTGTCAGACTTTACAAAAGAATTATAACAATCTACGTGTAATGTAATGTTATAATAACACATTATATTTGAACGTATTCATACGTTAAAGCGCGAAACTCTAATAATATGATTAAATAGCCAGTACATTACCACAGATCATATAATACTATAAGTGATGTCTAAATTACGTGGGTACCTAACTAAACGAAATGAAATAGGTATTTAAGATAATAACTTTAAACTTAATGACAAAAACTTTGCTCGAACTAAAAATAATCTAAAAATTAAATTATCTTTCCAGTAAAACAAAATAATAAGTTTTTTATATATTTTGATTGCACTATACATTCAAATTTTATTATCTACACTTATAATAAAAATCCGACTTCTTAAAAAACGAACTAAAATGATGGCAACAAGTTGACGTAGGAACCCAGTATTTTGCAGTTGGAGACAAATACGTACATATTTTATATTTGCTGGGAGTCTTGCTATATGTCACCAATTGCAGTCGAATTCTTTTTTTTATTATTTTCAATATTTTTATTTCAATTAAAAGATACAACTTTTTAATTTGGTCCAGTTAGACCGGTGGTAGGACTCTGTCAAGCATGAGGAGTTTGACTGGATGGGTACCATCGCCTTATCTATTCCTCCCGCCAAGCAACAATGATTGCATTGTTGTGTTCGGGTTTGAAGGATAAGGTAGCTAGCGCAATTATAGGCGTAGAGGCGTATTATCTTAGTCCTCACAGTGACAATAGAAAAGTTATTTGCGACAGGTACCACTTTCCATCAGGTGGGCTGTCTGCTCGTTTATTACTGAACACCATAAAAAAAGACATATGGGGTTTTATTTCAGGTTATTGAACGTCTGTCCATATCTGGATGGCGTAAAAAAATTAGGTTAATAAGTCTGTATAATCCAGATGTATAATTTTGATACTTGCTAAGTCGCTAACGCACTCATCAGTCATTACAATCTCTATACTGGGTACTTCCTTCCCGTTAATCCAAAATTACATACCAATTAAAGGAAAAATGTTTGAAAATTGTTCATTTGTAAACAATATATTTTGCCATTATTAAGTTTGTTTTTTGTAGTTTTAATATTGACAAAAGAATAAATCGTTATAAAATTTAAAATTCCAATATATCTCACTTCTTACTAATACTTTTTATAAATGTGAAAGTTAAGATGTTTGGATGTTTGTTACTCTATCACGCGAGAACGGCTGAACGGATATGGATGAAAGGCACAGAGTTAGATTATATTCTGGAATAGCACCTAGTATATACACATAATACTTTTTATCCGGGAAAAATGTACGGATCCCGTAAAATAGATTTGTTTTTTTTTCTAGTATTCCATATTATTATATAAAATCTAAACTATAATACGAAATAATGGAGAAATATAATGTAGAGCAAAATAAAATATACAAATTATAGATACCTACATAGTATTTTTTAACAAACTATCCCAAAACTAATAAGTGGGTAGATAGGTGTAGTACTTATTAATTAGGTATACATATATATTTTTTTGTCTCGGTGGTGTAGTGGCTAGCATATAGGACTGCACATTCGGAGGTCCTAGGTTTGGATTTCGGGTCGGACCAAGTTTAGTTATTGAGTCTCTTTGTTTTGTAAGCCTCAGTAATACTACGGAGTTGGAAAGTTGGTGGTGTTTCACCCCTCTGCCTCAGAGAGCACGTTAGCTGTCGGTCCTGCGCCTTCACTCTCACTGGTGGCGTCGAGCAGTCTTCCCCGGTCTCACCGGAGTATGAGACTGAGAGTGACAGGAAAAGACAGTGCACTTGTGTCTGCGCGTACACTTGTGCACTATAATATCTCCTGCGCAGATGGCTAATCTCAATGAGATTGGCCCCCGTGCTCGAAATTGGTCGGGAGAACATTATAAATTTTTTGTTAGCAATTTGTAACTAATTTTAGGGATAGGTTTACTTAAGTTGTTGCTTATTAGGTATATCTCTTGACTGAATTTTTAGGAATAGAGATAAAAGTTGCTATCACCATTGTTATCACGCATATGAATTTTTCCCTATTTCTATTTTATCTCTTATCTATAACATTGAGTTACTTACTCATTCTTATTATACGTGTCAAATAAACCGAAATGAAACATATTCTTCTATGTACGACCTACATAAGAACAAATTAGAATAACAATAAGCGATTTGTTTGTAAGAGTTGAAACAATGCATCTATTCCCTACTTAAACTTAAAACCTACATATTACTTACAAAGTAAAACAGTAAAAAAAAACAGCGCTAATTAGTAACCAGACTATAAATTCGTTTGAAGGCCTTTTCAATAAACATCAATGTTTGGCGGTTATTGCTAAAAATATTACCTATTAGCACTTATGCATAATAAATTTACACTATTGTAAGATATCTCAAGAAAAGTCAGCACCATGTTTCAAAAAATTATTTATTTTAACTAAATTTAATTATAATTTATTAGGAAATACTTATTCTCAACATTTACTCATTTTCTTTTTCCTGTTAAAAATCACGGATCGCATCCACCCGACTACCAATCGCCTTTCGTTTTTCTATTTTAAATTCCCTTTTTTTTATTTCTTTTTTTTTCGTAGAGGTTTTAGAGAAGAAGAATATCTTTTGGTATGTAGTATTCGAGGAAGTATACAATCATGATTCAATTTAGGTACTATGGAAAAGAAGCTTTTGTTTGGTTATAGATAAAAAATATATTATTTTAATATTATACCGGAGTAGACAGAAATTTATAAATATGTAACGATGTGCGAAGCCAATGGAAATATCAAATCTCAAATATTAGGTATTAGGCATTATGAAATTTCACAATGAGCTATAATGGGAGAAAATTGCACTTTATTATTTTGTAATAACAAAATAATAAAGTAATTAATTTTATTAAATTTATTTTGTATTTATTATTTTGTAATAGCATAGAATAAGCTACATGTATGATGAGTGTTTGGCTCGTTAGATTAGTTATAAAGAGCATCTTCTTTTTTTAACATCGGGATCCATTAGGCAAAGTACCGTAATAATAGTAGCATGGGGTCTCATCACGAACAAAGAAGAATTAGTTTAAATAAATGTCAATAGATGACGTTACATGTATTCATTTCTTATTAGTCATAAGTCAAGTTAAATTAACAAAAGATAAAAAAAATAGATCCCAAAAAGGTATATTATTGTTTAAAAAAATATTCTAAACAAAAGGAAAAGTAATAAAGGATCCGTAAATTGAATTTGCGTAATGTTACTGATTATTGAAAAACTAGCAATCAAATAATGGGTTTGTAGTGTATATTCAAAAATGCAGGATAAATTTCAAAATATTTACCACTCGTTAGTTTGCACGTATTTATAAAATAAAAGTTTAACTATTTGTGAATCAACGACATCTATTATCAATTCAAGTAAACAAAAATAGCCCGAATTAGCCCTGTCCAATTTCTTTATATGGGATGAGTCATCTGTACTAGTAATATGTGATATAAAAAATCAACATAAAGACACAATATTGTTAAAGATTTTCTAACAATTGTTTTTAGATTAAAACCGATTTTATTGAAAGATGTTTCGTATACATTTGAGTCTTATATAATAAACGCATTGGCATTGCAATCACTCTCATGCGTGAATGTAACTCCCAACTTAAGGAATAAAGCCTTAGGGCATCTAACATGCAATACATTACTATTATTTTCTGTCATATACTTAAATTGAAAACGTTTTTAATAAAAATATAATAATGAAGTCACAGGTGACAAAAATTATATTTGGAAGCAGAAAAATGAATAATAGGAATTGTTTTTATTTCTAGGTGAAATTATAATAACAATTTTGCCACTGATCGAGACTGATGGATTGGATAAAGATGAAATTTCTACACTAGTGGAGATTACACAAAATAAAATGCAAGAGGAATTCACAAAGACGTCCACGGAGACACTCGAGAGGTTCTCTGCGAAGAAAGTGAATTGAAAGGTATGTATTTTTTTCTGCCTTTATAAATATACGCATTATTTTAGTGCACTGGTCTTTCTTTGCTTTTGAATGAATCCATCAAATGTATGTACCTACTAGCAACACTATTCTAATATTATTTTCAAATATTTTATCGGTTTGATTCAAAAGTTCTCATAAAATAATATTAAAATTTTCATAATTTCATAAAATCTTGAAGCTTAATCATGAATAAATAGTTCTATGCTACCCTAAGATGTAGTGTAGTGATGAGCAAAAACACCCATGCTTTAAAAAAATACCAGGCGTTAAGTTATATACGTTTTTGTATAATTTTCAAAGCGTTTTTGGTAGATTATTAATTATTTATATGTATATAATATATTATTTCAATTAAATTAGGCATTATTTCTTCGGTTGGAAAATGTAATAACTTAAGTAAAAAACTCTAGAAGTCTCTTAATAACTTGTAATTTGAAAAATCTAATTTTCACTAATAATAAGCCTTGAAATATTAAACTTATTTGAAATATTAACCAATTCTTTTTATAAAGCGCCTTTACAAACTTTTTTGCAATTAATTTTAAGATGCTTTAGGCTATATAGTTTTGTTGGAAATAAACAATGCACGGAAAAAATCAATAAGTTAAAGGTAAAAGTTAAAGACATATTTTTAAAATGCTCTTATTTTACATAATATATAAAACTTTATCTTTTTAGTGTTATACAAAATGATTACTTTCAGTAACAGCATTAACTTTGTTTCAGGTAGTTTTAGAATAAAATAGACGTAAATCGGGGCTGTGATAAATTCAAATAGTTGTGGTGCATACAATATATTATTTGTTAAAAATTGTATCTATAAAGTATACAATACAATTTTAATTTAATATAAAAAACCATGTTTTAATTGAATCAAACACAGATGATATATAAACATTTAATCACAACATTATATACCAATACAATGAAAAAATAGTAGACATTTTGTTTCACACGACATACAGTAAAGGTACAAGTGTAAAATAAACATATCACATTCTTTGAAGAAGCAATTTAAGATATATTGAATAAACCTAGTGATTACATTTAAATATTTAATTTAATCACACTCTAAGGTTGTAAGTTATTTGAAACTCAATTTTAATAGTTAAAATTGCATTTTTTGACTTGTTTGCACATAATTAAAACTTAAATGTCATTAAAAAGTGTTTGCTATTCTCTTTTTCTACATCTGCCATACTATAATAAGTAACAGAAATAAAATTACTAATAGAGTCATTCATTTTTAAAGTGAGATTCACCTGCATATTTTTATAAAAATATTTGAGTATATTACAAAAAAATAAGTAATAAATTTATATTTGTCATTAAAAATCATGTTCAAAAATTCATAATATCTACGAGTATAAATGCTCTATAACTTGCAAGTCAATAGGAAAATTCAGAAATATTTGTAATTCATATAATAATAATGGTATAAGTAATTAAAGACTATTTACTAGACTTGCAACGAATATTCGGTATTTAGACTATTCGGCTACTATGTTAACACAACAGAAAGTAACAGTTGAATACCGAATATCTGGATACTGTTCGGGCGAATACTTAAGTAATATGTTTTGTTGTTATCAGTTATCGGATAATTGGTAAAATGAAAATATTGATTTATTTTATTATAATATACTTATAATCATTAACATAAATAACTTCTGTATTACAAAAATTGACAAAAACTATCAAATTAAGGTTTATGCACTTGCATTATCGTAATTAAAATTTAGAAATAAAAGATTTTCTGCATTCTCAGGCAGTAGTTTACTCCTTTTCTTCTCGTAGACAATCCCAGCTTCAGACAAAAGATACTCTAAATAAATACTTTTTTCTGGTGCCAAACAAGAAACAAACACGTCGATACAAGTTTTCCCGCCACGCGCTGTCCAAATACTTTTGCCTAATATACGGCAAGAAAGCCCACAGAATATTCGGTATTCGGCGTAAGGCCATAATATAAAATATTCATTGCAAGTCTACTATTTACACTTTGCTTACATATTGGCAAAAAAAAAATAACAATTGCAGATTTGTTTGGTTAAGATTTTTTTTTGTAATAGTAAAGTAACTTCTAAGTCCGTTATATGTTTACTGGTAAAAAAATACATTGAGAAATATTTAAAATGTTTATACATAGAGTAGGATCTTAGTAGTAAAGCTTCATATAGCAACTTATAACTACATAATATAAATAAGAAATGTCTAAGACTAGAAAAAAAAACTAACCTTTGAGTAACGCTCATAGAACAACACCTAAATAGAGCGTTTTTAAATGTTTTATAAAAGAGAAATTTTTGAAAAAAAATCATAGATATAAAGTTTATATTAAAATTTTGAATATAAAGTTATTCTAAAATGTTGAAACATTAAATAGTATATACATATTTGTAATAGTCATACAAAGTAGTTTTAAACCTCCTACTCAAGTTATATATAGGATATGACAAAGATTAAATAACGTGCTACAATTTTATAGTCCATTCGCTTTACGAAAATAGTGAGTTATCAAGTGCAACGGCAGCTAAAGGTGTATACAAAGTGGAGTAAAAAATTAATTCAAATATATTTCATTATATTCTAATATATAATGATAATGAATAACTTTAAGTCATTAATAATATATTTATTAATGACTTTAAAGTACTTCAAAACATTGAAATTACTCGTCATTCTCCACTACGAATTATCGATCCACTTTTATTCTTACGAATAGGTGAGATATTCATTTTAAAAAATTATTGTATATGTCGCACAAATGACACAAACTGTTTTTTTACGAAAGTCTGCTTTCAAGTGGTAATTGTGAAATTGACTTTAAAATTTTATGCAATCTTATTGGTCGGGGGGCGTGGCTAGGTCGGTGGACATCGATAACTCACTATTTTCTTAACGCGAATGAACTATAAGCACAGATCAAAAGCTATATATATATACACAAACTTTGTGTTTTATAAAATTGATAATACTTCATGATACTAAAATTATTATTAAGGGTTATATATTTATCTTGGCAATTGCTAATTTAAAAGAGATGTAACCGACTGACGCCGGAGTATGTCACTTGTTAAAAACAATAATTCAGTAGATTTTTTCCTAACAAAGAAATACTAAAGACTTTTCTAGAAAAAATGCAAGAAATCCATATTTGTAACAAAATTAGTCAAAGAGTTACTTATTCCGTTACAAACATATTATATGACCCTTAATATTAAAAGTACGTATAAAAATACGGATTTTATTACGAACGCTAAAATATACACACGATAATTAATTAAGTATATTATACGAAACACATACACAATACACATATGTATATATAATTTTATAAATAAAATATAACTACACTTAAACCTGACTACGGATAAAATAGCACTCTAAAAACATTTAATACATGTTTCAACTTTATCTTCCCTAGGGGGCGCCATATTTAATTTAGTGTAACGACACATAGTATACAACCAGTGGACTATGAAGGGTAGGAGGACCATCTTATATGGGTGTCCAGTGTCAAACTGAAAATGTCCAGATCAAAGCATTAAATAAAAGTTCAAGAACCTACCAGGATAGCGCTAGTGTAGAAAGTGTGTTTGATATGAACTTACCATAGTTGAAATATTTCATATTTTTGACAACTAAAATATATAGGTAATGAACCAAATAAATTGCTCATGTAGTTAAAAATAAATTAAAATAAAGAATCTAATTTAATAGAGTAAACTTGCTTTAAAATTTATGCTCTTGCTTCGCTAGCGCCATCTTTTAACTGTTTTTGACGGACACTTTTTCATGCACAGAGACGGTTTTCCTAACCTTTACTTTCCGACAGCAGATGATAAAAATTAAAAATGCTTCTGAGATACCTCATTTGTTAAATTAGAAAAAATATATACAGATAGCTTAAAAGATACGCGGGAACAGATGAACATACATACATAAGTACGTATATATTTTGCTGAAATCATAACCCTCCGTAGTCGAGTAATAATAATTTACGGTAACGTCCAAATGTTTTAAATTCCACAGCCTTCACTTGGCAAATACTGCAGTTGTTTCATATAAAGCGTGACTTAACATTGATTTAAATTCACCGCATGTTCTACATCGTGGTCATGATTGAAGACGTTGCATAACACTCGTTTACGACTTTCTCGATCGTAATCGTACGCCATGATTGCATATTAAGCAACTTTTCCTTTCCATCCGTTACTTTTATTAACATCAAATTAGTGATTTGTGAGAACAGGGCAATTTTAGATATATGTATTGATATTACTATTCATTATTACCTTCTAATTAACCCAAAATATAATATAATATTGAAATAAAACCATATTATAAAAATAACTAATATTATAAATATGTAAGTCGGTTTGTTACCTTAATCGCTAAAACCACTGAACCAATTTCTATGAAGTTTGTCAAGACCTTTGATGTCCGCTTCGATGCAACAAACGAAGCCGCTAGTAAAAACTAGTACCAGTATTTCGATCTGTCTCGAAATTTTTATCTCTAGTAGGTCACACAATGAGAGATAGATAGTCAATGTTTACTTTCAATACTTTGAATAATTCATATCTATTAATTAGAAGTACTTAGAACGTGTTTATTTCTGAATCTTGATCTTTCATGATCTTAATGGTACAAATAAAAATTTGTAAGTTTTTAAGTACAAATAAAAATTGCATCAAAATCAGTTCGCCACTTAGATGGCTATAGTAGAAACAATTTTCATATGCCTCAAATGGTACAACTTTCAACATAGAAATAGGAACATCCTTCAGTTCCTCGTAAAGACATCAAATCAATTGAGTTAAGCAATACCATAGTAATAATTTTGGTATGTTATCAATTAAACATATAAAAACTAGCATTTTTTGGTAAAATATTTTTTTAATTATCACAATCAATAAGTAAATTGTTAGTTACCTAATAAGGATTGCTAGAAAATTCTATTTGATTCAAATGTCATATATATGTTAAGCAAAAGTCAAACTGTACTTTTTGACAGTCGGTGAACATATTTAAGACATGAATATCATTAATTTAATAGGAATTTTCTTTTAAGTGGTCTTAAAATTAAATATAGATAAGTAAATTAATTTAAAATTAAAATGGCCGTTCCTTACAAAAGTAAATACGACTCCAAATAGGTCAAATATAAATAATAATAAAAATTATAAAAAATACAGATAAAAAATATTAAAAATAATAGAAATAAAATCACATATTATGATCTAAAGTAAAGCATGACGTCTACTTATTAATTATGTGGTTAAAATATTTTTAACTACTTATAAAATCACATTAAAATAAATTATAGAACTAGAGACCAGATGGCAATGATATATAAATATATTGATCCCAAAATATAAATAGCAATTACATTCATTTCTTTTTGTTGTTCATAAACTTATAATAACACACATAAAATAGTTATTTTTGATATACAAATACAGTTTAAATTATTTAATTATATCATACTAATAATAACTATGTCATACACCCCATGTTTAAGTGGAATGCCTTTTATCATCGTATTTAGTAGGTTGTATTTTGTCGTGATGATTGGTCGTGTTAGTTTAAGATTAGTTATTTGACTAACACTGAAATTCGTTGTCAATAGAAAACTTAGAAGTCTGGTAAAAAACACTTGTAAAATCGTTTATGAATAAGAGAACCTTAACGTCTATGACAAAAAAATAAAGGATGATTTCATACTATTTCGTATATATATATACATATATATATATATATATATATATATATATATATATATATATATATATATATATATAGTGTCCTATATTTCTATGGTCAACATATAAATATCACTTTTTATATGAATAAAATTATTTGATAATAACCCATATTACTTAAACATACTTAAAGTTTTTTAATGAATGATGATAGAAATTTTCAAAATTACTTTTTTTGGTTTTATCTGAAACTGAGTATGGTAGTAATTTTAAAAATTGCACTGGTTTTTTTTAAATTACCGTAAATCAATAACAATAATGAAGAAGTTTCCCATTTTTTTGTATTAATTATAAAAATTAAAGCAAAATATAGCAAAAATATAAAAGAATTATTAAAATATGTCAACAAATGAAAAAGTTATGAAACTTTAACATTGTACTTGTAACAATAATTTCGTGACGTCACACAACCTGAGTGACGAAATTTAAATTAATTTCTGTAATTTATTGATAGATAAAAAAAATCACTGATTTGATCTATATTTTAATTCCCTTGCGTTAAATATGATATTAACAACATCATGAAACTTCTCCATTACGGGGGTTAAAATAAAGTATTACATAATTGGCTGAAAATACTATTTCTATTTCTAAGTGAATAGAATTTTTAATTTAGATAATTTAAATTTTTTAAAGTGCTCAAAAGAACTAAAACATTTAATACTTAATGCTTTCACAGCATGTCACTGGAACTTAAGCGTATGTATTAAAAATAATTATCTTTGTAGTTATTTGCAGTCAATTAAGAACTAAGAATAAAAATTGGTAGCTACCATTTTTGTGTAATAAAAATTTGAAATTAATACGTTCAAAATCAAATGACTTAGTGCGAAAAAAATATGGTGTTACCAAGTCATTCTTGAGTCACTAGAGGGTAGTTAGGGGGCAAAGCGCTCAGGACCTCCTTGGACAGTTCCTGATACGCTCTCTCCATGACATTTTGCACTTTATCCTTTAGTTGTGGCACGTCTTCCATCGTCAACCCTAATGTTGAGATGGGCTCTAGGCACTGGATTACAGCATGACCTAGAAATTAAAATTATTCGAAAAATAATAATAAAAAAATTATTTACGTATAATGTTAACATAATAATTTCTTAGATTTACACGAATATTTGACATTTTAAATTAAACTATTTTCATGAATTTTGTCGCGGATTTATTTAGATTCCAAAAAAATCTGGAAATAAAACAATTTTTATTTAAAATATTCTGCAAATACATAAATATTGACTCAATCCAGATTCGAACACGCGATCTCCAGCTCCACTTTGATATTTAATTTGACTCCTTTTTGTGCGTTGGTTATGTCAGATAAAAACAAGAAATTCATCCATAAGGATAAAAAATGGAATAATTGTTTTCTTAAATAATTGAGTAAGGGAAAAACCGACATCAGTTAATGTTAATAATATGTTAATGTTAATATAAATTAAATGTTATAAATTTTGATAGCAAGTACTGATTGCATATATGTTACCTAATGTTCATTGCTCTTGAGATTTTATCCGTTATTAAATTAAAATAACCATATTTATATTATTGCGCGCACTTTGTCAGCGTGACTAATTTATATATTATAAATTATATGATGTTCTGATTCCGGCCACGGCGGCCAATCTCATTGAGACTAGGCAACTGCGCAGGAGATATTATAGTGCACAAGTGTACGCGCAGACACAAATGCACTCTCTATTCCTGTCACTCATACTCTGGTTGGACGACCACTCGACACGACCAGTGAGAGTTAAGGCGCAGAATCGACGGCTTTATGTGCTCTCCGAGGCACGGGGGTGAAACACCGCCAACTTCCTAACTCCGGGGGCTGTTACTGAGGCTTACTATACAGAAAGACTCGATAATTAAACTTGGCCTGAACCGGAACTCGAACCTAAGACCTCAGGGTAACCCTAGGAGCGCAGCCGTACATGCTAGCCACACACCACCGTGGCAGTTAATACATCTATAAGGGTTCCTTGTGGACAGCGAAACACTAAAAAGGATTAACAAAAGAGTTATAGTACTCGGAGGCTAGACTAGACTAATATTAATTATAAGATATATTTTAAGTAAAAAATGAAAATAACTAATCCGTAAATTAAGTCGTTTGGGCCTGAAATGAGACCCAAGACCAGATTGCTAAAACTATCAATATATAATAATATTAAATACAAAAGAAGAGGTTCTTTCAAACTTAACGGCACAAACTTTGTATGTAAATTGCAAACAATTATATGGACACTGACCCTGTACTCTAGAGATTTGCTATAAATTTTATTTTATTATGCTTAATAAACATATACGCGCACGGTACAAAGGTAATTTTCTCAGCAAACAACAAAAGGGCGGTAAACTGTTCTTTGTATTATAATTATTTACATCACGTATGACGTATGTCCTTGTATCGAGAGTTAGGAGTGTTACACGTGGCGTTCTATACATATATAATAAAATTGTAACTAAGCCGAATCTGTACATTAAATATTTTTTGGAAAATTTTATTGAAATAAACATTATTATCGATACAGAGGCCGAATCTATAGTTTTTAGAATTTTTGTCTGTCTGTTACCGCATCACAGAAAAACCACTGGATGGATTTAGATGAAATTTGGTATGATAATAGCTGGTTGTCCGGGTCAACATATAGGATACTTTTTACCGCGGGAAAATATCTCATTTCTGAGAAAAAATACAATAACTGCAATGTAAGAGTATACGAAGAATTTGGTTTTTGATCATCTGAACGCGGGCGGAGCCGCGGGCAATGCTAGTTATTATTATATTTCTCGAACAAACGGAAAATTTCTGTATTTCAGAAATACTTATTATCAGGGGTCGTAACCGGATTAAAAAAATGGTTTATTTCGGTAATGTATTGGTAAATTCATCGCTCGTTCTTTGACCGGTTAAAGAAAACGAACGGTTTAGTAAAGCGAAATAATAATGGTTAACGGTTATTCTTAGAGAAAGGTTGGATTTTGATACCAAAAAAACCGAATTATTCATTCATAAGAAACATGCATGCATCAAAAACTCATTTTAACAGTTTGATTTTGTTCACGGAACCTAAATTCATCAAAAACCGTTCACCCGAGTGTAACTGGTTAAAGAACATAAACGAAACTTCAAACTTTGAAAAGCCTTTCGCTAACCGAAATGGTTGATGATCAAAACCGGTTTTGATAATTGAACGGGTTCCCGAGCCCTGGTTATTGTTACCATAACGAAAAAGCAGTTTGGAAAAATGCCTTAGTCCTGAGAAGTGAGAACTCATCAGGACTATAAATAATATTTTTCATATTTCTTAATTCTAAAAACATCTTAATAACACACATTTATTTAAATACCTATTATTATATTATTCTTTAAAAAATATACTTATGAGTAAAAAAATCGTTATAATGTGCATTCCTGCGTAATTCTCATTTGCCATATAAGGCGTCCCCGGTCTGTAAAACGGAACTTTAAAAATTCAAACTGAAAATATTTATTTTCATAATATTGTAAAAACATAGTCCATGCGTAACCGAGTAATAGAAATTATATAGCTATAAGTTTGTTTACTTCTTTATCAAAAGATATGAGCGCCAAATTTTAGGGGACTTATGGCTTATAGGCTTTACTTATATACATATTTTAATGATGCATGACAGTGAAGTTAAAACTTACCTTTATTAAATATATATTTTTTACTATTCACAAAATAGTACGGCGAGATCACAATTGGTATGATGGGCACTTGAGCGGCGACAGCAATGTTGAATGCACCTTTCTTGAAAGGTAGTAGTTTTCTAAAGTCTTTATTTCTTGTTCCTTCGGGAAACAGCCATAACTTAGTCTGTAAAGTTTAAAAAAAATGAATTATTCAATTAATTTGCCTTTGATTTTTTACTTTAATTTCTTAATCCTTAAAAACCTGTAACATTAATTTAATACATATATTTAAAATACTTATTAATATTATTATTACATAATTTGCATTCCATTTTAATTCTCATTAGTATGCACAATTATCATAGTAGGTATATACGGCGTCGTCGGTCCGCAAAATGGCAATATTAAAATTCAAACTTAAAAATGTCAAAATAAAATACTTAAAGGGTTTCATAATAATTATATAATTTTACTAGCAACTCACCCTCGCTCCGCTTGGGTTCATCCCTAGTTATGTTTTAACGTTTAGTATAGGTTTCTCAGAGATGAGATATTTTCCCGCAATAAAAAGTAGCTTCCTATATTATGTTGATCTAGATAACCAGCTATCATCATACTAAATCTCATAAAAATCTGTTCAGTGGTTTCCTCGTGATGCATTACCAGACAGACAGACAGACAAAAATTCTAAAAACTATATAATCGGCCTCTGTATCGATAATATTGACTATTTCAATAAGATTTTCCAAAAATATTTAATGTGCAGATTCAACTCAGTTAGAATTTTATTATAATATATATATACGAGTATACTTACATACCTATTATAATAAAAAAATATGATTTAGTAGAATCATAAAGAACAATGGCAGGTTTCTACAACGTTTTACCTGATATTTGAGGCGTCTTGAAATAAAAACATAAATAAAAATAAATTTTAAAAACGATAGGGATTACATAACACAAGTTTAACCAGAAAGTTTTTTTTTATTTGGTTGCGGTTATATATTTACCTACCTAGAAATGACAGCTGTCACTGATTATTGTACCGAATATTATAAAAAAGTACGTTAACGTTACGTGTAAGTAACGTTCTTAATTACTTTATCATGGATGAAACAAGGTACTACTTTGAGTTCGCTAGGAGAAATCACCAAACTGGCGCCAACTGGCGATCATCCGAGAGAATCCACAAGTCCTCATATGGGGTAGATAATCGGGTCCGACGTCCGTGGGCAAAGCCAGAGTCAAAACTTAAAACGTAGTAGTCGGTAGACTAGGCTTTAAATTAATCTAAATATAAGTAAATAATAATATGTCAATATCAATTAACAATTCAAGCTCATTGTCATTTGTTGTGTTGCCATTGATATTATTTTAATTACCTTACTAACTGTAAAGCGTACTCAATTAATCTTACGGCTTAACATATAATATTTCCATGTGTAAAGTTGTAAGAATAATGAACAAAACTTAGTTCATTATTTAATTATGTAAACAACATTTAAAACAAAAAATATTTTTTAAAAATGCGTCATTTTATTTTTTTCTGTGGCAACAGTTTTTACATACTCCTTTACGAATGGCTAAGCCGGACGTAGGTACATAATAACAATCAATTAGTATCTTATTATGGAAATATTTCTTAGTGGCTTTGCCATGCAAAACCAACGCCATAAAAAATGACCAAATTAAATAATACTGTTTTATATATATTCTAATCTAAGACGTTCTAAAAACATTTAGGTAAAAACTTCCCATTGTAATTGTTCTTTAAACCATGATGTGATTTTTTCCGCCCAGAAACATATTTAAGTGGGAAAAAATTAATTATTATGTAGGGGAAGATATATATGTATATGTTTTATATTGCCGGTTCATGATGTTTATTTTTTTATTATTTAATTTAATTTTCGCAATTAGCATATTACATACTAAATGACGTGTACAACTTACATAAAAAACTTAACAAAAAATAGAATGGTATTATTAAATCATCTTTAACTAAAAAAAAAAATGAGCGTGCGTTTGCCCAAATTACTTTCGTCGAAGATCTCGTCTACAAAAGACGTGTACCAGATTTTACGTTATTTCTGCTTCGTTTGCGAGTTGCGATATGAAAACATCTGATAAAATTAATTAAAAAAGGAATATAATAAAACTAGCAGCACCCGCGGCTTCGCTCGCTCTAAAACTACACTAAAAATTTCTAATAAAACCTAAAAAGATGAAAACAAGTTCACGATAGAATATAGTATTATGCAGTCGGAGACATACATGTTTCATCCTTGCCGCAAGATGTACATATGTACTCGTATGATATAAGGTATAACGATACCTTAATTAAAGAAATCCATCGAGTGGTTTGGAATATATGAGGGAATAAAGAATATTACAAATAAACATACAAAGATAGGCGCAAAAAACATAACCCTTTCCTTGCAGTTATAGTTATATATAAAAAGTTAGTTTCGTACAAACTTTCATCCCATATTTTACCCCCTTATAGGATGAATTTCGAAAAATTCTAAAACACTTTTTTATTCAATTTTATTGAAGAACATTAATACCAAGTTTCAAGTAATTCGGATCATATATATTTTTTGGATTGTATTATAATGTGTTTTCCCGTGGGAATTGATAATCTCCCGCGATAAAAAATAGCCTATGTCACTCTCCAGCCCTCCAACTACCTACACACAAAAATTTACGCCAATCCGTCACTCCGGAAAGACAAATAAACACACTTTCACATTTATAATATTAAAGTATGGATAAAAAAAAGAAAATTTAAAACTAAGTGAAAACATACTAAGATCAATACAAAAGTTTGATAAACGTTTATAATAAAAATAAATTAACGTAAAATTCTTGATAAGTTCCTTTGGAACAAATCATAGGGGAAGAGAACTAATTAATATATATTTTTTTATACAGCTTTATATTTACTAGTTCACCCGACAAACATTGTCCTGTCAAAGTTTGTACAAAAATCCTGTAGAAAAACAGAACTTTTAATTTTCCCGATTATTCAAATCTCCCCTACCTTACTCGGACTACTAAGAATATTGGACAAAAATTCTAAAATCTATACATAGATTTGGCCTTGGTATCAATAATAATGACTATTTCAATAAGATTTCCCAAAAAATGTTGATTGTACAGATTCTACTCAGAATTTTATTTTATGTATAGATTAAAACGAATTTACATCAAATATAAAATAAATAGGTTAATACTTCGCATCCATATTTTTGCTTCTCAACAACGCTCAAAAATATTGCTTGATCAATAAAGTAAATAAAACATTAACAATCTTACCTTGTTTTTGATCATAACCTCGGTGGTGGCATTCAGAGTTTTATATGCGTCTTTAGAGTTATTTCTATCAATAAAAACCACTCCCGCCAAATATGCCGATAGACCGAAGGGCCAAACATAGAATAATTCCTTTCTTGCAACGGCCGATACTTTATCGGCGACGTGCCATATGTTAAACATACCTGAAATATTTAATGTATTTTAAATTAAAATTGACTTAAATGAATATCTTATTCAAAACAAAAAAAAAACAAAAAAAAAAGTCATGAAAAATCGGTATCTGAAAAAAGTTTAGGCTGAACTGTTTAACAAGTTGTATATATTTTCTTTCGTTGTGTGACATTACGATTGTTGGGTATATAGGCATTACTTTGTATAAAACATGAATAGTCTCACTTATATCATAAATGAGGAATTGGCCTTATAAATATTATAATGACGTTTTATAAAGTCAAGTGAAATATTTTAAACGCAAAGAGTTGCATAATAAACAAGTGATTCGTTTAGTATATTGAAGTAGGTATGACGGGAACAGTTAGAGATAGAATTTTGGCAGGGATCAACCAGGGCAATCGCCCAAGGCCACCATAAAATAATGACAATATTAAGTTCAGGTATTTTTACATAATAAAGTGCACTCCTTCAAGAAAATATCCAAAGTAAGAACATACTTACCCATCTGTTGACCGTATAAAAAGTTATATTAATTAAAAATTGTATTAAATCTAATATAATAACTATATTATATTTCAGAGTTGCCTAAATATGTAAATTAAAGCCAAACCATAGTTGCAGTTCAAATTTATTAGGTAAAGATTCCCTATTTAGAATAACAAATGTTAAGACTTAAACTGCTTTATTATTTATGAATACATAATAAAATAAGAAATTCATCATTCAAAACTTGAAAAAATAAGAAGTTCATTATATATTTGAGATAAATAAAAAATATGGGTACTACCATCATCATGGGTATTGTAATAAACATAATAAAATCCAACAATAAAAACAAGCATTACAGACTATTAGATGTAGTTCATACTGCGTGGGTCACAATAATAGTGTTACTTAATATTTTAACTTAACAATATTATTAATTAATTAAGTTTAAAATATATATATATATATATATATATATATATATATATATATATATATATATTTATAATAATAACAGCTACAACTAAACAAAAAAAATTAAAAGGTTTAGAATTAAAGAAGTAAGGTACTCTGGTGCCATTTCTGAAATCATTTTTGTAAAATTGTGGGTAGGCACTGTCTGTCTAACAAGTATATAACGCCTTTGAGATGTCTAAAACCTTAGTCTCTCCCGTGACCATGATTGCTGAAAAGCATTAGAAACGTCGGGAACCAAAAAGCAAAATAAATCCATGAAATAATTTGAAAAGATAGTTTTATTTAAAATACTTTACATTGAGTAAAATAGTGGATTTAATTTTTTTTAATTACCAAATATTATGTACAGTACACTACCAGGTAAAGACATAGACTCAAGTGATCTAGGACTTCATGAAAATATGTGGAAGAACTATTATGGTACTTATTAACAACTACATCGAACTAGTATATTAAATTTACAGATTTTGTATGCAAGTGTATTCAGCCTTTTTTAACATCCCACTGCTGGGCACAAGCCTTCCTTCAACACGAGGGCGATCAGGCTATAGTCCACCACACTGGCTAAGCGCAGGTTGGCAGACTACACATGTCTTTCTAAAATTTGCTAGGATCTCTCAGATATATAGGTTTCCTTATGATGTTTTCCTTCACCATAAGACAAGTGGTAATCATGGTGAAACTGATTCGTACATGAATATATCAAATTTGCGAGACCCGGATTTGAACCCAATACGTATAATAATATGTAATTGTATACCAGTGTTTGTTTATAATTCCTTCACACTAAAAAGGCTGATAAATTGACTAACACATGGGCTACGGTTTTTAGGCACCAAGTGACACACTCGAGCCAAGTGAGTGTAAGTCGTAGTAAATCTAAGTTATATGAGTTTGGTTTGGAATGAAGAAAAGTAACTTTGATAATTTATTTAACAAAAATAGATCATACCTAATATATCAAGGGATGACTGGTGGTTTGAAATAATAACAGCTCCCCTGTCTTCCATTAAAACTTTCCCATTTCTTAAATGCCATTTTACTTCTATCAATTTTGTTACATGCTTAATAATTTGAACTCCGAACCTGCAAAATTGTAATAAATTTAATTCATAAGTTACAATAATTTTGAAAAGTTTATGTAGTAAATATTAACCATAAGGCTTTGATATTTAAATAAAGTGATTTTTTATTCAGAAGTAATTGACTTGATAAACTAATCTGAACATTTTTTCATTCTCATTCATATCTAAAAACACAGAAATTTTTTTTTTTTTAATTAATTTTAATATTATAAATATTATATTTTTTACATACATTTAAAATCATTAAACACTTGTAAATATATTATAAGCAGAAATATATAAAAATTACTTACAGAGAATTCTTTACATTTTTGGGGTTGAAGACAAAAAATGGTATTAAAAACAAAGAAACAATAGATGCCCAAATGTAAAACACAAGGAACTTTGATTGAAATTTTACATAATTTGGAGTTTCCGAAAATAATTGCTTTAAAATATATGTTGTTATCATTATCATAAATATATATATAATTTTATCCCACATGTTTATTGTTTAACTCTATAAGAACTCCCTATTGTTATGACTCTTGATCACTAAATGTTCGTTTTAATAAATCAAGCAAGATGCGTGACTCAACGTCCTCCGCAGTTTTTTGTCTGAATTTATTTCAATTAAGTAATTGTTTTAATTTAAGCCCACATTCTATTCGTCTTCTTTTACTTTTTAAATTTTTTATTATTGTTCTCCATATTGTGAAGTTAATAAAATCATTAATGCAATGACATTTTGTTTTTTGATTATTTCACTGTGTAAGTTTATTTTAAACGTAAAACCGTTTGCAAACAATAGGTACTTTAGTATAATTTGTTTAACACAATGAAGAATACTAAAAAGAAGGACCTGCACTGTTTCGCCGTCTGTTTACGACATAGATAAGAGAAGTCAAGAGTAGACTGGATAATGTTTGGATATACCACAGATGACAGAATATACAAATGTAAACAAAAAGAAATATGAAAAAACAAAGTGATGTATAGCAATTAAGTATTACAAGTTCTTTTAATATTTCATTAATATAAAGCCTGGCGTCGACTACAGCAGAAACGCGTCGAATCGAGGCGAGTCGACTCGCATTTATTCCTGGTGCGTCCATTTCAGCCGAATCGAATTGCTCATTTATCGTGCCTGGCGTCCACTAGGGCGCCGAGTCGAGGCGAATCGAACGGCAGAAATTCGCCTCCTATATATTTACTATGAAACTGCGTCCATTAGCGACGAGTCGCGGCGCCGGGCGCGCCGAATCGAAACTCCCGCGCGCATTGCTCGTCAGGCGAATTTCTTCGGCGACGCGTTTCGACTCGATTTGGCGGGCCTTTAATCGACGCGGAGAATCGCATGGGCACCGGCGAGTTTTTTATATTTTAATTAAAGAGTACCTATGTTTCGTGAAAAGAAACAATAATTAACTATTATGTTATAGTATAACTATACTACTATACTGTATACTTAAAGATTTACCCTCACTTCGCTCGGGTTCGTTACTATTAAGTACGTTTTAATTTTTTTAGCGGAACCCTAATTCTTTTTCTAAAATAAAAGTACATAGACTACGTTACCCCTTATAACATCAGCTATCTGCCAGTGAAAGTCAGACAGACAAAAATAAAAAATAAATTGTTTTTCTTATAAGTAGCGTATATAGTTTCATGTTCATTTAGTAAAACACTGTTATTTTGAGATTACAAAGAGACACTTCAATTTTATCTATCTGTATAGGTTTATACTAAATTTTAGAGTTAAGAAGATCGAAGCGCATTCATGACCTAGTTTGCTGACGAGTTGCGATAAATGAGCAATTCGTTTCGATTCGGCTGAAATGGAAACACCAGGAATAAATGCGACTCGAGTCGACTCGCCTCGATTCGACGAGCTATGCTATACGAGATACGTTTCTGCTGTAGTCGACGCCAGGCTTCGGAAGTCGTATTGACCAGGAACGTAAGTAAATTTAAATATTACTTTACAAAACATTGAGATTACAGAGAATTGAGTTTTCGAAACTACACTGTATACACAACGAACTAGCACAGATCTTAAAATACTATACTAGACAATAGTGACAATGATAAGTGACGTCACGCACCGTAATTGGCGTAATTAAATTAATTAATAATTCATTATGTTAAAAATAAAGAAAAATCATGATTTTATATTCAATTATTCCTTTTAATAATTAATTCTAGCCCCATAAACTACCGCTATACAAAACATCACATCAATTTATTAATATAGGCAAGACCCTATTGTAATATTTCTAATCGAACTGAAGTGTCGGGTATATTATTATGTAAAAATTTAAAAAAATGTTAGATGAGCCCGGTAGGCATTAAATGAACCTTTGACAAGGTGTAATATTTTGCTATTGTTAATTGCTACACTGTATAGCTTATTCTTTGATTACGAAGTAAACGTTAATCTTAAAAAAAATAAGGTAAGGTGCAATATATTGAGTAATTTATTGATTAAAAACTTCAAGGACGCTGTGGGTAACATTTTACACATTTTTATTTACATAAATCGGAGCCCTTAGCTCGGGCACGGTAAGCTTGACTATACACATACACATCATAATTTAGGTGGCAAATAGGGGTCATTCCCACTTCTACACCCTAGATTATCCCTGCGGCAGGGATGTGAGTAGCCGCTTTTAATACTACACTATGTTTTTATATTATTTTTAGTTTGTTTTTTACGCAGTCGGGAATTGGGGGCCGGTGTGAGGAAAACCACACTTTCGGGCATTTGAATTTGTTGTCTATCGGATCCTTATAAATAATAATTTAAAAAAAAATATAAGGTCAAATCTAAGAGGAAAAGGAAAAAAAACTGTAAGAGGAGGAGGAGCACGCTTACGACAATAAAAAAGACAGTGTTTGTGATTTGTTTTTGTTATTTTATGTATAAAATAATTTGTAAATCGGTGTACCCCTTTACGACCGATTGAATACGAGCGTGACATTTGGTAAAAAAAATTCTAATTCAAAATGTATTTGTTTTTGTGAACGCAATCGGCCTCACACGATAATGTTAATACATACGCTTTATTCAAAAATTAAAAGGACACGTTGTGTCGTATCCAGTGGTCGAAGGACCGTCGACAAAGATGGCAGCGCATTTTGGACATGGGTCTCGATCACATAAGTACATTTTTTTACTATGTTTTTCATAGCTTGACATCTTTTTTTGTTATTAAAGTTTAATGTAGATAAAAATGAACACAAAGCCGTAATTTGTATATTGAAAGCATAGTTGTTCTTTTGTTTGTGATCTCTCAAACTTATATCGTCACGATCGTGACAATCCGGGTTTCAATTCGTTAATAATTACGAAAAACGTATTTTTTCTAAAGCTGCTTTTTGACAGTACATGTAAAGTTTTATAATTTTATATTAATTTTAGGCGCAGTTTTGAGGGATGAAGAGGTTTTAGACCTCTTGCAAAATAGATATGCTCTATGATATTGAGGTGCTGCACGACGAAGGTGAGGAATTTGATCGTTTCTTTTTTAAAAAATTTAGTGATGAATATCATCCAGAAGGTTTCTCCAGCACATTAGGAACTGTCTTCTGATGAGGTAATTACTGAGAATATGTCTGTTCGTTATTTGGTACGTGGAGGCAATCATCCTTTACTAATAAAGATCATAATTACCCAAGTCCACCCTCAGGACCTGTCAAGACATCTAGTGAGTATATTTATGACTATTTTGATAAGGAATTCATCGAACTGGCTGCTGTTTGCTCCAATATTTACTACCTACGTAAAAACGGAAGATAATAAAGCTATATTGATGGCGTCCAATTGTACTGGCGCTAAACATCAAGACTACGTTAAACGATGGGACAAACAAACAAATAAACAAACAAACAAAAACTTACAAGGATAATATTATTCCCAGGGTAGTTAGCAATTATATAAGACACATGGGTGGAGTGGATGTTTTAGATCAAATAATGGATTAATAGCGTACCTTCATGAAAACGAAAAAGTGGAATCTGAAGGTAATCATTCATATTTTGGATTTAGCTATAATTAATGCATGGCGGAAGTAAAAAATAGATTGTGAGGCTTATAAACTTCCGAAAAAATATATTAGATCTTCTGAACTTTAAAATGGAAGTAGCAGATGCTTGGTTGAGTACTCCAGACCGTAAACGCCGATTGAGTCAAGACACAGATACTGAAGATGAGGCACCGCCTTTCAAGTATATGCCAGCAAGATATTGGAGAGTAAGCAAGCAAAGAGATATGATGGATATGATCATCTGCCAACCTTTGCACAGTTATCGGCTCAACGTTCCTGCAGATTACAGACATGCACAAATAGAAGCAAAATTCGTTGTGTAAATACGATGTTTACTTGTGCATGTCGCAGGGAAAAGATTATTTCCGATTATACCATGCGAACTAAAATATCTAATAATTTTATTTGTAACATACAAATAAAATTATTAGATATTGCAGTTGATCTCAAAATGGTTCCTATTATGTTAGTTATTTTTATGTTTTCAAAGATTTAATCTAATTTATATACTGAAGTTGTTTACATTATATAATAAATACAAATATAGATAAGTTTAATACGTATAAGTATAATTAAAACCAAAAATATATGCTGAATTATGAATACTTATGTATAGATTACCAAATTATTTAATCACGGATATAAATAAAGTTGATTATACTAGATTTTTATTTCATTAACCGAGCTGCTTCCTAAAAAATCACCATCGTGCGGAAGTCAATTTAATCCTGATCGTCACGATCGTGAGGGTACTTTTTTTAAAACATGGGGGGTACGCAATTTTTTTTAATATTTTTTTTAGGTTGTTTGAAGCCTAAATAACTAGAATACATAAGTCATACACGAAAAAATAAAAAAAAGTTCGCCGGTTGTAAAGGGGCCGTTCATAAAATACGTTCGCATACAAGGGGAGGGGAGGGGTCAGGCTGAGTGTGACAAGGGGGGACGGGGGGTATACAGCAACGTGACGTTCGCCGTTTATTATTTTTTGACATGAGCGCTAGCTCTGTGGCGCGATTCTAGCGGCGTTGCGATCCGTCACAACTGGTTTCTTTGTTTTTCCAATACTTGAGAGAGTAACGTTTCCACGTACCCTGCGCTCTCGATTCAGTAACAAATGAAAATACTGTTTCTCATATATTTTTAAAAATTATTTTATTCCTTCATTCGCCATTTAGTAGTGAACTAATACAGACGCTTTTTTCATCTTCTCAATTTAATACTCTTCAGTTAATTACTTTATCCCTTCATATGTGGTTATATGTTCGTTATGAAATATATTTATTAATTTATTTAAATTTTATTATAATAACTAAATAAATATTTTTAATTTTCAGAATTTGTGTACTATCATTTAGAATTTATCATACTCAGCACGGGTCTTAGTTTTTGTGACGAAATATTTCTAGGGGGGGTCACAGAAAGT